CCATCTGCTGCCCATCTTCTCGTGGAGTGTCAGTGCAGAGGGCAGGGCTTGGGAATGAGGCCCGGAAGAGCAGTAGGTGGAAAGCTACCTCAGTGGAGGTAGCCCCCGTGGAGTGTCGTGCCCCTTCCTTTTGGGAACTGTGAGTACCAAACTATGTTTTCAATGGCAACTGTCCCCTAATCTGTTGGCCTTACTGTACCTCGAATTTGCTGTTAATACACCGTATTTTAAAACTCAGCCTTTGCCATAGCTTTCACTCTCCTGGAACTGCTCTCTCGAAGGTCATCGACCGTGTTCTGCTTGCCAACCAGATGGCCTTCCCCTGTCCGTTTTTCCCCTTGGCCTCACTATGGGATTTTGTCGACGAGCTCACAGCTTGGAGGTGGCCTGTTCCCAAAAGTCTTCCCAAACCACTCCCCTGAGCTCCAGCCAGTGCCCCCCACAGGCTCCCACAGCTGCTATAAGTGCCCGAGTTTGTGTCTGTAAACCCTCCGCCAGACAGTAGACTCCCGAAAAGCATGTCTTTCCCTCCAGCGAGTAGCACACGGCCGGTCAGTGCTGCTCAGTGACTACTAGCTGAAAGAATGAATGAGCGACTACATGAGTGAATGAACACATCTAACTTCAGAGTCATCTCTAACAACTTGCCCTCTCTCCTGCCCTCCCGTTCTTCTCTCCTTTCCTTTCCACTGCCGCCCTCCACTCCTCCGTCCTTTCCATCACACACTAAAACAGAGCAGTGACCTCATAATTCATTTTCTTAATTCCCCGTCTAACCCATCTAACCCACCAACCCATGTTGCACCCCTAACTTCTTTTCTTTTTCTTTCTGGAGACACAGTCTCATTCTGTTGCCCTGGCTAGAGTGCAAGTGTCATCATCATAGCTCACAGCAATCTCATCCTCCTGGGCTCAAATGATCCTCCTGTCTCAGCCTCCCGAGTAGCTGGGACTACAGGAGCGCACCACCACACCCAGATAATTTTTCTTTTTCTTTTTTTTTTTTTTTTGTAGAGATGAGGTCTTGCTCTTGCTCAGTCTGGTCTCCAACCCCTGGCCTCAAGCAATCCTCCCACCTAGGTCTCCCAAAGTGCTAGGGTAACAGGCATGAGCCACTGCACCTGGCCCCTAACTTCTTAAAATATAGCTAAACTCTTCAGTCTACCTCCCTCCCTGCCCCTCCCCAGCCCCACTCTCATAGAATAAATATCAAGTCCCAATTGCCTACCTGGGTGTCAGCACCTCCTCCCCCTCCCCAATCTCCTCCGCCTCGTCGCCAACACCCTGTGGCTGTGCACGGTGCTCTCCCATCTGAAAGCTTCTTTCCTTCCCAGTCCTGAACTAATGTTGACCGAAGCAGGGCACATCGGCACTGCCAGCCCCTACCTCCCACACTGTCCAGGCCTGCGGTCTGGAGGCCCAGGCACCACCCCAAACAGCTCCTTACCTCCCCCAGGTGCAAGACTGCGGAGAGTCAGCCTTGAGACCTGGAATGTGGTGGGAAAATCTATAGTAGCTTTCTCACAGCCAAAGACATAAGAGAGGATGTCTGGAGAAAACAGCTACGATAAACCAGAGTCAAACACAGAATGCAGTGTTGGTCGATTTCACGACTAATCCCGCCTCAGCAGGCCTTAATGTGCTGTGACTGTGACGAGCAGAGGTACTTTTAATGGTCATGCCAATGAACCCTGGCTTCTCAGTGCCACCCTCTCCTTCCCTCCTGCCCTACCTCTCTCTTTACACACACACACACATATGCACACACACACATATGCACACACACACATATGCACACACACAATGTGCTCAGCATTCCAGGCACAAGCACCGTGCAAGCTCCTCCATTTCAGGTGTGCTTTGCTGTATGCAAAAGTTGTCTTCCTGAAACAACTTGAATTTTTATAAATCAAGTCCCAGGTTCCCCAAATTTTACTTTCCCATCTATCTTATCGCTTTCTCCAATCGATCTTTAAGAAACAAAGGTCCCTAACGTTTAAGCCTTTAGCTTTTAGCCTCTTCTCAGCTTCTCTGTCAAATGGATAATGGCAGCTACCGTGGAGAAAAACGCTCTGCGGTGCAAGTGCCTGGCAGATACCTTTACACAAAAAGAAGGATCCTGCTGTAATAAGTCTAGTCACTGTCCCTTAATTTTCTATTTTGTAAATTCTGGGTTTGAATATTTAGAGGGCCAAGTGGGAGACAAGCTTATTTAACTCTTTATTTCACATTAAATACCTTCTTTAGGAAGAGAAGGAGTGTGCACAAACAACTCCGGACTCCCCAGGCCTGCAGGAAAGGAGAGGGCAGGAGGAAGGGAGGGGCAATCTGCACAGCAGCTGGCCGGGCCCCCAGGACACTGACCACCGACTGCATCCCAGCCCATCTCTGTAGTCACCAGGAGCCAGGCATTATCAGTGGTCTGACTTTACCAAAAGAGGCAGCACTCAAGATCAAAAGGGTAGGATAGCTGGCCCAAGGTCACACGGACAGTGAGTGTCAGAGCTGATTTGAATCTAGATCCATCTGACTCCAAAGCCTTCATCTTCTACCAGGTTCTCTCTGGAAGGAAGCCATCTGGGTCAGCCTACCCCCACCCCCACCCCCACCCCCACTACCTAGGCCAGGTTATAGGATATACTACTTTTCCTGTGGCTACAGAAGTTGCTATAGTCTGTTATTTTAAAAACTTATTTTTGTTTATGGACTCATCCAAGCATGCATAAAATGCTATTAAATTATTAATAGTATATCTGTAGAAGAAGCTGAGATCTCTGATTTGTTGGATTTCTTTAGAATCTGATGTATTTTATTTAAAATTCAGAATATTCATTATATACTAAAAAAAAAAAACCTCATTCATGCGACTTATCAAAATAAAGAGTAAATGTGTATATTTAAAAAAAAGAAAAACAACCCAAAGCCTGTTGTTTTGCTTATATAAACCTTATCCTATAAAGACTGGGAGAGGCCACCTTCTTTCTTAGCATGCCATGTCCATGATGAAGAACTCCTGTTGTTAAAACCAGGGCTTGGCTGGTCCTGAAATGGTTTGGATTAGAGGCAGCAGGAACTGAAAGCAGGCAGAGTGGCAGGGAAGGGGTAATAGGCCCAAGCAGCCTGGGGGTCAGGGCCCAAGGTGGGTGCTGCCAGGCCCTGGGACAGCAGCCACGCTGGCTCTCCAAGGCCACAGACCCACAGCCCTGGACATCCGCCTGGCCACTCCGGGTGGGGAAAGTACTAGATAGGAAAGTGCCTGGCTCAGCCTTAGCATACAGACAGTGCTCAGTATGCATTCGACTCGCTCCCGCCTTGCTTCCGTCGTTGCAGGGCAGGATTAGCCCTGCGCAGAGACAGGATAAGCTGTAACCTTGCAGTTGGAGGGTAATGTCCCTGGCTTAGAACGCTAGCAGCAGAGGAGCAAGGAGCCAAGCAAATCATCACAGCCAGCGTCACCCAGCCGTCCCCTGACCCGGGCCTGAATCCAGCTTGCCCCGGCCTCGACCTGTTTCTTCCCACTCCGTCCCCAGGGAAATGGAAATGGACGAGGCTCCTCTTCAGCGCCTTAGAGACGCTGGTCGTGCCATTCCTCAGTCTACTGGGAGTCGGAGGTGGTTCTGCCGTTTCCAGAATGCCTGGCTCAAGACAGGAAGAGGAGAACCCGCTGGGAACCCTGACTCGCTTGTAGATTTGGGGGGCTGGAGGACGCACCTCTGGCCCAGCGGCTTCCTTAGGAACGCCAGTGGCAGTCACAGGACTGGAGTCTCCTGGCTTCAGGGCTGAGCTCAGTCTTTGTTCTTGGTGAGGAGGAGGAGGGAGGAAGGCGCTAGAAGGGAGGAGAGAGGGCAGGAGTGGGGGAGTCTCGGCCCCCAAAGCAGCAAGCGAATGACTTACGATCTTCCTTTCCCAGAATCAGGCGTTGTGTCTAGACAGACACTTCAGGGGAAAAACTGTCACGCTGACTTAATTCTATCTGGAATTTCCTCAAGCCCTCCTGCCACAGACAGCCGCCCGGCTGCAGAGGGGGCAGAGCTGTGGCTGGGGTGGCGCAGCCTGGTGATTTTCTGCCCCAGAGCTGTGCGGAGCTCTCCGCCAGCCCCCGGCTGCTCAGCCTGGGCGAGAGGGGAGTGGAGTCTCTGGCCCGGCGACAGTGGCACGGTCTTGCCCTAAACCCAGCTCTAGAAGGTGCCGGGCTGCCCCCACCAAAGCGCTTCCATCAGCCCACGCAGCCGCCTCCTGTCCCCTTGGCGAGACGGGGAGCAAAGGATTCTCATCTCCTTTCTCATAAGTGAGGGAGTGGGGACCAAAGACGTCAGCGGATACAGCCAATGTCACAAATCAGACTCTGGAACCCAGCGCTTTTCCTTGTAGGGCTCAGATTTCCTGGCCCTGCAGTCTCTGTCTAAACAGGCTAGGAGGGGCGGGAGGGGGCGGCAAAGGGGAGGATGGCCCTGTCCTTCTGCACTACCTAAGTGTCACCAGGTCCTTCGCACGCCACACCTGTGAGCAAGCTCAGTGAACAGGGGGAGCGGGGAAGAAGCCCCAAGGGGCAGCGAGGTCTTGCCCCAGTGACAACGTAAACATTTCCAAAGGGTGCCCCACGGCAGTGTCCTTTCTGGAAGCATCCGTTCCTGCGGCGTTGCCCACCACCTGGGTGTGTGCAGCTGCTTCCTCCTTCCCATCCCTCAGTTACTCTACATCAGCCCAGCCAGTGGTCCCAGCCCGGGGCTCACACTAAGGTGACCAGGTTTGCGATGAACACAGGCCCTTTGGCCCCTGTGTAAGGTAAGGTCATCCGGTCATGGAAGAAATCTCCCAGCAGGAGCCCAAACTGCCTGCCAGAGCAACAAGGAGCCACAGCCTCCGCATTCCTTCCCCTCTTGGGCATGAAAGTCCCTGCAGCAAATATTTAGAGGCTTTGAATCCTAATCCCTGCCCGTGCCCTCTCTAGCCCTCCGAGCTAACTTCTCAGCCCAGGTTGTGTAAATAGGTTTTCTCACCAGGGTCCAGGTTGGGGAACTCTCAGGCTGCAGAATGTGAATCCAGCCCTCGTGCTCTGGTCACAGTGGCAGCAGCTGGGAAAGGCTCTTTGTCCTGGAAACGTCAGGGAGAGAACAAGTCTTTCTCCTCTAACTGCGGGAAAGCTTCCTGTGCAGAGTGGGTGGAAGTCAGGTGGGGTGTGCTGAGGGCCTGAGCTTCCTCCCATCTACTCAGCACGCAGGGTTTCTGCGTCCCCAGCCCGGCCACCAACCCTCAGAAGGCAGCGATCGCACCTCAGTTATCTGTGCATCTCTTGTATCACAGCTCCGAGCCCGCACGGAGCATCTCAATTCATGTAAGGTAATGAATGAGCTTCATAATTGTACAAATCCATCTGGGCTCCTGCAAACCTTCAGCTCGGCTCTGACGTGGTCACGCCCGCTTCAAAAACCTTGCCTTACAGGACCGTGCATATCCCTCACCCATTTGCATTTAGGACTGCCTGTATTGGGCTCCAGACACCCACTAGCCTCAGTCTCCCCACCACACCTTCCCACACACTCAGTTCTTGAACTACACTGAAGCCCTTTCTCCGCTCAGGGTGGCCTACCTCGTGCCTTGCCCGGGTGGCTCCCCCACCTGGAATCCACTCTGCTTTGCATCATGAAGAGGCTCCGGAAAACGTACGTTTGATGCATTTGAGTCAAATTAAAGCTGGAGCCCGGAGGAGGCTGCGTCCTATTTTCTGCTTCAGTCTCCCCAGTTCCATCTCAGAAGTGGGAACGTCCGCCCCTCGGCCCCCAGCCGCACAGAGGGGAGACGGCGCGGCCCCGTGGGGCCTGGTGTGAAACAGCTGCAAACATGCGGCGTTTCCTTTCTGGTGGTTCGGGGCCACCAGGATATGAGAATCCCCAAGCCCTTGGCAAATGTCGTTCTCCATACCTGACCGGGAAGGTGCTGGTGGGGAAAATGAACGTGCCTGGCAGGAAACACGGAGGGGAGGGAGCAGGGGGGGCGCCAAACCAGACAAGCAGGGAAAGCAGGAGGAGCTCAGAGCGGCAGAGACAAGCCTTAGGCCAGGGGCTGTTCATCTGCGTTCACAGATCACTCTCTGGGGCTCATGAGCTTTGGATCCCCTTTTTTGCTTTGTGTTTTTTGAGAGAGGACCCACAGCTTTCACTGGATGCTCAAAGGGGTCTGCGATTCTCCAAAAGGGGCTTCTTTTCCCCCGATTGTTTGCAGGCTGGGCTTCCCTGCTTGCCCTCCTGGGGCTGCTCCTCAGATTCTGCCCCAGTCCCTCCTCTTCCCCGTGATAGCGCCCATGTTCTCAGCTTCTATGACTGTGGGACAAGCTGATGCCGGCAGCGGGCCAGGACCCTCTGCTAGCAGAGACACGGCGAGCTCGTATTTCCGGCCTGCTCCTCTCTTCTGAGCTCCGGACCCACACATCGAGTAGGTTACCTATATCATGGACAGCTCCGCTGGGAAGCCCAGAGGCACTTGGGAATCAGCAGGAGACACCAAGCCTGCCCCTCCCATTCAGTCTCCTCACTGCAGCTGCAGGAATCTCTCCAAAATAGAAATCACCATGCTTCTCTCCGCCTGTAACTGAGCAGGAGCTTTCCCTTGTACTGGGCTAACGTCCAGGCCTCCTCAACAAGACCCTTAAGGCCCTTTATGAGCTGGCCCCTGCCTACCTCTCCAGGCTTCTCTCTTCCCATGGCTTCCCCACATTTCAAGAAAACACGGTGTTCTCTCTTGCTCCAGGCCTTTGAACATGCCTTTCCCCCTAAAGATAGCACCTTCCACATCCTCTTCCTCTAGGTTAATGCAGATCTTTGAAACTTCAGGTCTCAGCTTGAGTCATGCTTCCCTCTGGAAAACCTTTCCTAACTCTCAGACCAGGTCACAGGCCTTGCTATGTGACCCTGTAGCACTCCATGCTCCTCCCACCAGGACAGACTTGACACTTCCAGTAAGTGCTTAGGCCTTTGTTTCTCCCCCATCTCCCATGAAATTTAGGTTCCAAGAGCCCAGGAACTGCTCCTGCCTGTTTACCATTGTATTGAGGGCACCTGGCTCAGTGCCTGGCACACAGTAGGTGCTCAGCAAATAACTGCCGATAGAAAAAGTAAATAGGATGAATGGAGAAAAGGCAGGAAAGAAAGGATTATTCTTTTTTGTTGTTGTTTGAGACAGAGGACAGAGTCTCCCTCTGACACCTGGGTAGAGTGCAGTGACATCATTGTAGCTCACAGCAACCTCAAACTCCTGGGGCTCAAGCAATCTTCCTGCCTCAGCCTCCCAAGTAGCTGGGACTATAGGCATGCGCCACTATGCCCGGCTAATTTTTCTATTTTAGTAGAAGCAGGGTCTCGCTCTTGCTCAGGCTGGTCTCGAACTCCGGAGCTCAAACAATACTCCCGCCTGAGCCTCCCAGAGTGCTAGGATTACAGGCGTGAGCCACCGCGCCCAGCCAGTCCTTTCCTTCTTGAGAGACTCTCACCTTTACTCCAGGTTGCAACAGACACATGCACTAGCACGTTCCTTTCTCCAAAACCCCCCTGAGCCGTGGATTGAAAGTCAAGATGAGCCTCGAGGCTGGGTGAATTCCCGGCATTATTAAAGCCACTCCTACTGAAAAACCTAGTAGTGTATCATACACTTCTGCAGCCACGTGGTGTCTGGCACACAGCGCGTCCCCTGTCATAACAATGGAAACCATGGCTAGCACCTCTAGGCTTTCGTTTACAATGCACTGTTGTATCCATTATCTCTGAAATAACGATGGAAGAGAAATGAGTGATGAGCAGAGATGTGCTCCTCCGAATAATGCCAGAGGAGCAGGTGCTCTGTGGTGGGAAGATCAGAGCCCAAGTCCTGATTCCAGCTCCGATTCTATTCATGACTTTCCGTGGGACCTTGAATCGGCAGCGAATCCATTCTCGACTCAATTTCCCCCTCTGTAAAATGGAGAATTGAGCCCTCCTTTCCCTATCTTCCCAGGCTGCTGCGAGGAGATAAGGCCAGCAAAGCAGCTCCCTAAGTGAAAGGAACTATGAATATTCATGTTGTACATCTCTCAGGGCAACCTTAGCAGCTACAACTCATCAAGTCACTTGTAGCCACTTCTTCACCCCGCACAGTTTCCCTGTTCCAGTCCCACGTGTCTTTCCTCCTCCCTTAAAAATCCTCTGTAGCCAGAGAGGATGAAAGAGACACAGCCATATCTATTACCTACTACAAGCCATGGTCATAAATCCCATTGCAATTAAACCTAGCCTGGTAAAGGGTTCCAAGCACAAAACACATTGGTGCTTTCTGCATTTGCCAATTACAACATGACAATGATTGAATAGCCCAGTGTCAGGGACGCAAGGGTAGCCCCCCCCTCTGTCTTCCTCCTGCTCCCATATGGAGTTTACCAGCCAGGGTTGGGGGGGGCTCTGCAGGTGCCAGGAATAGCAACACACAGAGCACGCTGATCAGGTCTGCAGAGGGCACAAAACTAGGAGGGGGCACACTTAGCATGTCAGGTGACGAAATCCAAACTCACACTAACCGGCGGAACAGAACACCAATTAAGCCAATTAAAGAAAGGAAAAATCATTCAAACAAAATCTTGGATCGGAAATGTAAAGTCTTGCATTGGGATTCAGAAAATCAATAGCAGACCTATAAACAGGGGGACACTTGGCTTGGACATGTTTATTAAAAGAGAAAGACATGAGCTTTTGTTTGTTCATTTGTTTTTTTGAACCACACACTTGACATGAGCCAACGGTGACAAACTGCTGCTCATAAAAAAGTGCGGCCTTGGGCTGTGTTAATAATAGCAGAGTGTCTGGGACAAAAGAAGGGACTGCCTCTCTCATCTCTGCTCTTGCCAGACTAACGCAGGTCACTGCGACTAGTATAGTCACCCCTTTCAGAAGGACAATGACAAACCAGAAAAAGAAGGGATCCGGGCTAGTGGCACACGTAGAAATCAAATCATTTGAGAGGTGACTGATGGGCCAGGGAATATCCATCCCAGGGAAGACAAGACTGGGAAGCAGTGTGGTTGCTTGGTTGCAGGTGCAGAATCAGGAGTCCGCCTTCTGCAGGGCCAGGAGGGCCCAACCAGGCCAGCAGAAGAGATAAGGCTCCAATTTGGACCCAACATCAAAAAGAACTGACTGACAACCAGGCTGCTGCCTCAGGAGGCAGTGAGCTCCCCGTCTCTTGCAGGATTTTAGCAGAGCATGAATTTAAGAGAAAAGAACAGAAGGTCCATGGCCTCTGTGAAGCACAGAAATGACTGCGTTTGGAGGAGATTCTCCTGATGGAGCAGAAATGGTTACAGGCTGCCTTGGCTGAGGTCCCTCATGAGGCCAGCAGGCCTGGTTCCTTTTCCTCTCTAGTGTCACTTTCTGTCACTTCTGCCCCCTCTCTGCCCAACCCTCGCCCCAGCAGACCACATGGCTGGACATCAGGACTCAGCTCCTCTCTCACCTCTTCGGAGAGGCCTTCCGCTACCTGCTAGGGGCAGGCTGAGTGTCCCTGCGCCCCGGCTCCCTTAGCATCCTGCATGCTTGGTACCCGAGTGTGTCCCTACTTTACAGTTACTGCTTACGGACCTGTCTGATCTCCCACTGGATGTAAGCCGGGTGAAGGAGGGACCTGGTCTGCTCTGCTCTCTGTGACGTCCAGGGCACCTCACAGGGTGCACGGCACAGCACAGGCACGAAACAAACATTCCCCGAGCACATGGATGTGTGGGCAAATTTCATTCTAAACGAAGCTACTCAGACTGTAGTATGGGGAGGACTCTGTTGCTAGGGCTTGCAGGCTCCACATCCCTTACAGAACCTGCCCTCCCGTGTCCCCTGGGCGGCACGTCCCGCCTTTCTGTCCTGGCCTCAGGCCCCTGGGGAGAAGCCCCATCCCTCTCTAACCGCAAAAGGCCTGCTGAAGCTTCCAGACATGTTAGCTGCCCCTTCTCACTGGACAGTCCTGCAATGGACATTTGGGGAAGTTCTTTTCCAGAAAACACTAAGGATCAATCTGGTTGGTATGGTTTTGCCAGGTGGTTAAAGATTGGAAAAGACGGCCTTGGAGGCCCCTGTCTGCTCTGGGAACGTCTGCTCTTAGATCCTGGAAGGGCCTGCACTTGGGCTATCCTGAGAGATGCCCCTTGAAGAGAAATACACCCCATTCCAGGGTGTAACTCAGCAGTGTTCCCAAATGGACCCCCCACCCCCCCATCCAGGCCAGTGGAATGGGTCCCCCCAGGGTGAGTTTGCTCTTTCTCCCTGCACATCTCGAGCTGAGGCAGAGACAGGTGAGGGCCTCCAGGAGGTCTCTGACTTGGGACTAAAGATAAAGTGCAGATCACCTGGCGAGCCCCCTGAGAAAGTGAAAACCCAAGGCTCAATGCCTTTGGCCTCTCTTGAAAAGTTCATCCTACTTCTCGCCCACTGTTGCCCTTAAAATGAAAAGTTACAACTTGCTTTCGTTTACCCTCTGCCTCTGTTGATGCCATTAATATTTAATGTCTCTCGAGGAAGGTGCGCTTCCCCGACATAACAAGCTCTGGTGCAAGATCAATCAGAGAGACTGACTTGGAGCTCACCGCCTCCCGCAGCTCAGCATGGCTCAGGAGCATGGGGGGGTGGGGGGCGGGGTTGACACACTCCCCCCTTCCCACCCCATGGGGGCTCTCTAGGCACAGCTGGGGGCCAGGTGCTCAGGCTCTGCACTGCCCTCCAGGGAATGACAGTCTTGGCATCTGCTGAAGGCTTCCAGTTTATTTAGTATTTACCCATTTCCTTACTCTCTGGGCCTCTGGCAAAGAGACCTCCAGGCACACAAACAGATTTTTAAAATAATACAAATCATTAACATTTAAAATGGTAAAGCAGCAACATTCTGCTTTCCCGAGGTGGCAGAGAGCTCAGAGAGGAGCCAGCGTGTATGTGCAAGACTCTATCTTCGAGCCCCAGGCCCCCCTGGATGGAGGCTGGAGGTGAGCTTTCTTCCCTGGAGAAAGGGCTCTCGTTTGGCCCCTGCACATAGAAACCGGCCAGAACATTCCAAAGTGAAGAAAGACTCTATTGAGAATCGCAGCGCTCAGAAGAAAGAGCCCTACACAGCAGGGGCCTCGCACAGCTGGGACTGGGCCACTTTGCCCATGGAGGAGGCCACACTCAGAACCAATGCACGCATGGCCACTGAGGGGCCAGAGTGACCCAATGCAATCTGTCAGAAGAGCAGAGCCCCGGGAGGGCTGCAAGGCCACGGCTGTATCTTGACTTTTGTCATTAAAGAGCCATGTAGCCGCACCTGGACCTCTCAACCTCCCGGTGCCTCAGCTCAGTTTGACTCTGTTTTCTCGTCTGGCAAATAATAGAATCATTTCATTTTAGAGCTGGAAGAGGCCCCAGAAAATATCTAGTTCAATCTCCTCACTGTACGCATAACATCTGTCCTAGCAATTTCTCCAAGTTAGTGGAAGGATTAATTGAAATACAGGAAAGCTTTGTATTTGTGGATCCAGAATCTAGGACGTGACATGGGGTCAATTGTTTCATCTTGTTCCTGCCCTGCCTCTCGCTGACCACTCTTCAGCTGGGACCCGTAAGAAACTCTGAACCAAGGCACAGAGTACTTGTGCTCGATCGTGACACTGCGCGTGGCCTCTTCTAGGTTCCCAAAGCACCCCACCTGCTTTGGCAATTTGGTCCCTGCGGGGCAGACAGTGAGGTGCTAATGTGGCAGGTGGGAGAACAGACACGCAAAGACACGCTCCAAGTCTCACGGGGAGCCGAGTGCATCCGGTCATCTTACTCCTTGCCCAGGACTCTGTATTCTACACTGCTCTGCTTCTCTGTTCACAAAAACTGAGGCTCTCTTTGGTATAACCAAAAAACTAAGAGAGCCTCAAAATCAAGAGGCCTTGGGAAATGGGTGAACGGCTGTCCAAAGCATTCTGCGTGTGGAACAAACACTTCTAGATCTGTCTACTTGCAGGGATAGTCAAAGGTATCATATAAAAGGAAAGTACAGTTATTATGAAAATCCTCCATTGCAAAACCAGATGGCATCGATTCCCCGGCACTCCTATCAAACTGACCTTTTATTTTCCTATAAGCTCGTCAGCCTT